TGTCTGTGGTTCTCCTGCCTCTGTCTGTGGTTCTCCTGCCTCTGTCTGCGGACCTCTCTCACTGTCCTGTCATCGCGAACGGTCTCTATCAGTCACAATAATATTCACTGCATTTCTGGTGCATCCATCGATAGCCGTGATACTGACCAGATGTCACCAGTTGATGCTCAATGACTTTGAACAGCCACATGTGTTTTATTATTAATCTTCCACAGTCCGTTTAGGATAAACTAAATAGAGGCTTCTGAAGCGGATTCTAATCATAAACGGAGAGACCGTTTGCATTTTAACGCGATTACTACCACAACATTATTGCTGCTACTTCATGGATGTGGTCACTGTCTGTAGGCAAAATCTTCACATAATCTGCAGGTAGAGGATGACCCATGGTCATGGATCTATAACAGGGATGACCAGAGACCGTTCCAGACAGCAACACATACGAGTTTTCAACTGCACATGCGCAGTTGAAAACTCGTAATTTTGACTTTTAAAGTCGAAATTTTGACTTTTAAAGTCGAAATTTTGACTTTTAAAGTCGAAATTTTGACTTTTAAAAGTCGAAATTTTGACTTTTAAAGTCGAAATTTTGACTTTTAAAAGTCGAAATTTTGACTTTTAAAAGTCAAAATTTTGACTTTTAAAGTCAAAATTTTGACTTTCTGTAGGCTTTTTTTTTTTTTTACATGGCGGAAACGGGCTTCCATAGATAACACAAAGAATACATAACAGAAAAACATCTGGAGTTAATCAGTCTAATCTGGAAAATCTAATTCTTGTTCCGTGTAAGAATCAGCCGACCACAACCGCTGATACTGAAACTTTGAAACTTGCTATGCTAAATGTCAGATCTCTTTGTAACAAGTCTTTTTTAATCAATAATTTTATTTGTTCTTATAATCTAGATCTTATGTTCATGGCTGAAACATGGCTTGACCAAAATACAGAAAATTCAGTTTTAATAGAAGCATCACCACCAAATTTCAAATTTGAATCTGAAATACGGGGAAACAAAAAAGGAGGAGGCTTAGCTGCCATTTTCAGAGACCACTTTGTCTCCCATAGAATGTCTCTTGGGAAGTTTCCGTCTTTTGAATATGTGTCTTTTAAAATACAACAAAAACAATCTCGTCCAATAGTCTTCATTGTCCTATACAAGCCACCGCAGTCATGTCACAGATTTATTGATAATTTTACGGAGTTGCTTTCAGTTTTATGCACAGATTTTGATAGCTTAGTTATTACAGGTGATTTTAATATTCATGTGGATAATGTTATTGACAGAAAGGCAAAAGAGCTGAGTTCTGTTCTTGAATCTTTTGGTCTCACTCAGCATGTGAGTGGCCCCACCCACAGCAGAGGGCACACTCTAGACCTGTTAGTTACAAAGGGGGTGAATATTTCAAATGTAAACGTGGTCGATGTTGCGCTTTCGGATCATTTTTGTGTATTTTTTGACATGTGTTTCACTAACAAACCACCAGTGGACTCTGCAACTGTACGAAGAAGACACATAAATGAAAATACGGGTGAACTATTTATGGGAATGATAAACTTTGAGAATGCATCGTATTCTACTGTAGATGAACTGTTTAACTCTGTCACCTCTAGTGTTTTGAATGTTCAGGATACCGTTGCCCCTGTGAAGGTTAAAATAGTGAAAAATAAGCAGAAGGCGCCGTGGGCTAAAGCAGACTCGGTCAGAGCACAAAAGAGAGAGTGCCGGAGGGCCGAGCGGAAGTGGCGCAAGTCCAACCTCCAGGTTGATTACAAGATCTTCAAAGATAAGTTGTGCGAGTTTAACCAGGTGCTACGTAGTACAAGAGAAAGGTATTTTTCTGAAATGATTGAAGGCTGCAGCAACAATCTGCGTGTTCTGTTTTCAACAGTTAATAGATTAACAAACCCCCCTGTTCAAATGCCATTAGAGCTAACTTCCAAACGTAAATGTAATGAGTTTTCACATTTTTTCAATGACAAGGTTCAAGGCATCAAAAACGCCATTGTCTCCAATCCACAGATAACAATCCAACAGCCAGAAAGGCTCTTTGAGCTAACTCACTTTGCACCTGTAAATGATCAAACTGTCCAAGAGATAATCTCCAGTTTGAGCTCCTCCACATGCAGCCTGGATGTACTACCCACTAGATTTCTAAAGTCTGTTCTGAGCAGTCTGTTACCTTCACTCACACAGATAGTAAACATGTCCCTTCATTCTGGAATATTCCCAAAGGCCCTGAAAACTGCAGTCATCAGGCCCCTGCTAAAAAAGAGCAGTCTGGATGCTACGGTACTTAACAACTATCGTCCCATCTCAAATCTGCCATTTATGGGGAAAGTCCTTGAAAAAGTTGTCTACCTACAGCTTACTAGATTTCTTATAATCAACAACTCATTTGATATGTTTCAGTCCGGCTTTAGACCCCACCACAGCACTGAGACTGCTCTCGTCAAGGTTACAAATGATATCCGGCTGAACACTGACGCAGGCAAAGTCTCAATCTTAATCTTGTTAGATCTAAGTGCTGCCTTTGACACTGTCGACCATGAGATCCTCTTACAGAGACTAGAGGACTGGGTTGGCGTCGCTGGCACCGCCCTAAGTTGGTTTAGGTCTTACCTTGAAGACAGGAAGTACTTTGTGGAGATTGGAAACTGTGTCTCAGATCATATGGCCCTGACCTGTGGAGTACCACAGGGGTCGATCCTGGGACCTCTTCTGTTCAATCTCTACATGCTGCCGTTAGGTCAGTTAATACGCAGAAACAAAGTGTCCTATCATAACTATGCAGACGACACTCAGATCTATGTCTCACTGACTGCAGGAGAACATGGACCAGTGGACTCACTCCTTCACTGTATCCAACAGATCAGTGAGTGGATGCAAAACAACTTCCTTCAGCTAAACGCAGACAAAACTGAAATGATTGTCTTTGGTCCCCAGAAACAAAGAGAGAGCGTCATCTGTCACCTACAGTCTCTCTCCCTAAAACCTTCAAACAAGGTCAGAAATCTAGGGGTAATACTGGACTCAGACTTACATTTTAATAGCCACATCAAATCAGTAACATCAGCAGCTTTTTACCATCTAAAAAACATTGCCAGGATCAAAAACATAGTGTCTAAAGCAGACCTGGAGATTCTTATCCATGCATTTGTCTCCAGTAGGTTAGACTACTGCAATGGCCTGCTCACAGGTCTGTCCAAACAGGCTGTAAAACAGCTGCAGTACATTCAAAATGCAGCAGCTCGAGTCCTGACTAGAACCAGGAAGTACGACCATATTAGTCCTGACTAGAACCAGGAAGTACGACCACATTAGTCCTGACTAGAACAAGGAAGTACGACCACATTAGTCCTGACTAGAACCAGGAAGTACGACCACATTAGTCCTGACTAGAACAAGGAAGTACGACCACATTAGTCCAGTCCTCAGGTCCCTGCACTGGCTTCCTGTGGCTCAGAGAATAGACTTTAAAACAGCTCTGCTTGTGTACAAGTCTCTCCATGGCCTCGCACCAAAATATATTAGTGACATGTTAGTCCCATATGAACCAGCCCGGACTCTGAGGAGCACAGGGACTGGACTCCTGCTGGGACTCTGAGGAGCACAGGGACTGGACTCCTGCTGGGACTCTGAGGAGCACAGGGACTGGACTCCTGCTGGGACTCTAAGGAGCACAGGGACTGGACTCCTGTTAGTGCCCAGAGTCAGAACTAAACATGGGGAGGCTGCTTTTCAGATTCATGCTGCTAAAATCTGGAACAATCTTCCTGAAGATGTGAGACAGGCCTCCTCTCTGACAATGTTTAAAACCAAGTTAAAAACGGTGCTGTTTAGCTGTGCATACAACTGAGGGATTTTATATTTTTATCTTTCGTTTTAATGTTCTGTGATTATTTATGATTTTGATGCTATCTTGTTCAGCACTTTGAGTTGCCTTGTGTATGAATTGTGCTATACAAATAAACTTGCCTTGCCTTCACACAAGAGAAGCTTTTGCTGTTAAGAATCATCTCGTGGTTACGCCATGTTTACGCCATGTGTTTTAAAAATGGACTCGACTCTTGTCTGATTGGCTGAGAGTCCTTGGTGGGCGGAGTCAGCACGGGGGAAGTGAAGAAACTGGCTGCTTCCAAATTTGGTAAAATGCATACTTTCACCAAAGTATACAGTACAGGAGTATACACACAATGACTTAAAAAATGACTAAATAAGACAAAATTATTCAATATTCAGTGAAGGAGATGTTTTACACATTTCAAATATGCCATAAACGTTCATAAAAATGGCGAAGGAGGTACTTTGAACTAGCTCAGTTTGAGGAGGAAGTGAAAAGAACTCGAGGGATCTTGTAGTAACAGCATTTCTATCTGTGTCCACAAGATGGCGGCATTGGACCAGTGACAATCTATTCCAAACAAAGACAGTATTTGTTTTGTAAATAAGTGAAATAAAGGTTTTTTCCCCATTACGTTTTACTGTTGGGTTCAGGCACAACTATAAAATGGTCTGAGGCTGTAGATCCAGGACTGAGGCTGTAGATCCAGGACTGAGGCTGTAGACCCAGGACTGAGGCTGTAGATCCAGGACTGAGGCTGTAGATCCAGGACTGAGGCTGTAGATCCAGGACTGAGGCTGTAGACCCAGGACTGAGGCTGTAGATCCAGGACTGAGGCTGTAGATCCAGGACTGAGGCTGTAGATCCAGGACTGAGGCTGTAGATCCAGGACTGAGGCTGTAGATCCAGGACTGAGGCTGTAGATCCAGGACTGAGGCTGTAGATCCAGGACTGAGGCTGTAGATCCAGGACTGAGGCTGTAGATCCAGGACTGAGGCTGTAGATCCAGGACTGAGGCTGTAGATCCAGGACTGAGGCTGTAGACCCAGGACTGAGGCTGTAGATCCTCATGGACGTAGAGCTACATGGACGGCGAAAGTGGTGGAGCAATAGTTTGAATGACGCAGATGGGCGTGACTACATCCGTTAATACAGTCTATGGTGTGTCCTCAGCTGCTGCACGACCAGGTGGGCGTGGTGGACTATGCTCCGTACAAGGCCCTCTTCATGCAGACTCTGTCCAGAGGTCGTTCCTGCTTCCTGGGTCTGCCCTGTCTGCCCTCTCTGTCCTGTCTGTCCTCTCTGCCCTGTCTGCCCCCTCTGCCCTCTCTGCGAGGTCACCCCCAGAGGAACTGGAAGGTAACGCTCTGACCCTCACACACTGGACTCTTTATTTTGACTCAATGTTCAGGAGCTGCAGGACACTGGTTTATTGTCAGAACAGATAAAGGTGAATGAGTGAGGTCTCTCTCCCTCCTCTCCCTCCCCTCTCTCCCTCACCTCAACCCTGAAGTAAAACAGATTCAATTAAATAGTCCAATACTTTGCTCCACTGTATTCATTTAATTGTCTGCGCAGAATATCGCGATACTGTACAGAATCGTCTTTTTTTCCCACCACTATATTCATTATAGAAACAACTTCCAAACAGAGGGTTTCCATGGTAACACACTGCAACGTGTTTCCACCTGGATTCATTCCATAGAATCCCATTACCATGGAAACGGAATGTTCGACGTGTCATTGATAGATTTGCAGTAAAACCACATAGGAAAAACTGCAAGACTACCCCGGTGTGCACCAGACACACACCAGAGCTCTTGCCACGGCGCCATCTTTACGGCGCCATGCGATAATAGGATCATAAACCACAGAAAGCATTTAGTTTAATTTGAGACATGTTGGTATTCTTTGTAGATGTAAGTGGTTTGTTGCACACTGTAGTTGTTGTCGTGTATGGTGGCCCTGGGGATTTAGTCCTGTGGTGATGAACTTTTATCAATGTGTGGCGGGTGGGCAGTGAGGGGTTGAATGTTTGGATGTTTATGACAGGGTGTACACTGTGAGGGGGGAGAGTTTTGTGATAATGTCGGTTCTTAATGTAGTACTTGATGTGGAGATATCTAGAGGACTGGGTTTTTGTAAGTGGGGTTATCAGTGTGTTATGTGGATTTAGAGATCGTGTTGGGATGTATTGTAGTTTTGACAGGGGAGGGCGGCTGGGGTTGAATGTGGAGGGGTATCGTGGAAATGGGGGTGACCAGCTGCTTGCTTCGCTTTGTAGATAGGTGTATACGTGTGGTAAGGGGTGGCGTATATACTAGGTGGACTCAGAGGCAGGTAGTCAAGGGGGGGTTAGGGGATATTGTATATGACCGGAATCGATGAAATATGTCTTTCGCAGGAGGGGCGATGAGCGCTGTATTTGTGCTTAATGTTACTGATTTTCGTGGGTGAATGGTGGTTTATGTTTTGGTCTGAACCAGTCGAGTAATTGGGGGGATTTTGGAATGTTGGACAACTGGATATGTAAGGTTTTGGATGACGTAAATGACTTTACCAAATTGCTGCATATATGATACTAGGCCATTTGTGCTAGGGGTGTTTTTGGGAATATAGTTATTACGCTTCTTTACTTTATTGTCACAGGCGGACATGTCTGGCATGGCTCACTGGATAGTGTCGGATTAAGTCCCTTCTGTTTCCATTTTCCACATGTTTGTATGAAAGTGGTGACTCTGTTAATGAGCTGATGCAAAGAGCAGTGTGGGGCTGCGTGGATGACGGCCGACTTGGTTGTGTTGGTTGTATATTGTATCATTGATGTAGGATGCTGAAGTGTTAGAAGGTTTGTTTTGATTATATGGTTTTATTATGCTGGTATATTTGTTATTGAGGATGATTGCTGAGGATGCTCAATGGTTCAACGTCTACTACAGTAATCCTGCTTTTAAGGCATGATATTGTCTTGGTTTCTTCTTGATGCCTCTTCACGAGCTCTTTACATATTTCTACTTATTCTCACACGTTCGTTCTTTGGGATTGGTGGGTGCCCGAGGCGGGGGGTCTATGGGAGGTATTTCGCGGGACTCGTTTAGTGAACACACTCTGGGTATAACCCTGCTGGATCTTTAGTTCCAGGTGTAAAGACTAACCCACATGCCTCGCTTGTAATTGCACTGGTCCTCTCCAACGGGTCTCTTGTTTACTGTGGGCCGAATTCATCGAATATCTTCGTATGATAAATTCTCTTCGTTCGTCTCAAGGTGTCCTTTAGTGATGTGCTTAAGTAATCCCCACTGGGATTCTTCAACGCACTCGTAAGCCGCTGTTTGTGCGCTCGGGCGCGCACTGATATGGTTGTTTTAACTGGTCCGAGTATTCTGCGCGCGGCCAGGGCGGAATTTCTGTGGTCTTTGCAGAAGTATCCGCCCCTAATTCCCTTATAAGGGCTGCAGCCGTGTGGCAGAAGGCTGTGATACGAATCTGCCTTAAGCTTGATGTTTCATAGGAGCATAAGTGTCCAACCTTTTGTCTTCTTTGACCATCTGTGTTGATAGGTATAAATGTTTGACTTAATAGTCGAATTATTATTGTATTATTAATCTATCATTTTGTGTTGGTTGATTGTATATGAGGTAATTAATCTCAAAGTTTTTGAGCTTAATATAATAGTGTATTATGGGTTGTATATGGTGATTAATGAAATCTCAATAGTTTTGAGTTGTTTCCATATTATTGACCCTGGGTGGAGATCCAGCGCGGTACCTGCGAGATGTACTTTGCTGTCAACTGGGTGGGGTCTGAGGTACTGCTCTCTGGATTCATCCGCGGTCCGATTGGTATACATGCAGTGACGGTGGGATACGTGTACTGTGAGATCGTGCGAAGTTCCAGCGCGTCCGTTTTAGTCCCTAGTGACCTGTCTTGTGAGACATGCGAGGTCACCTTTGGTTCACACTGGTGCTATGCACTAGGTACCCGTTTGTGTGATATCCCATGATGTACCATAGTGGATGTAATGGCGTCCCGGAATGGTATGAGTACCTGGCTGACAGGCGTGTGCCTGGGAGTGATCAAGGCAGTCAATATAGATCATTGGGTGAGACTCAGTGCAGACCCGTATAAGGAGAGACCTGTGCAAACCCGTATAGATCCAGAGGAGTGACCAGGCGCTGAGTCTCACGCGGTCCATGTTCCTCACGGACAGCTCTGGATTTTTGACGGGGGGCGGGGGCCCCGTGGATTAAGATATTGCAACCTATAATGAGGATGGTCTCTTATAAACGGCAAATTTCCAATTTTTGTAATGCTTGGAACATTTCATTTCAAAATGTATTTATATTGTCCTTGCTGCAGTTATTTGGCGGTTTATAATGTTTGAGTTCGTTTTAGTTGTAGAAATTATTATTTTCTGTACGATCAGTGTTTAGGTCAGATATCGGTAGGGGTGTGGGGTAGGGATTTCTGCACCTTATTCTAACCGATGGGACTTGTCGCACCTGAGAGCGTATCGAGTGTCCTGTGGACACGTAGATTTGTTACTTCCCATGTATGGTTTTTCTGGTTACATTTATATTAGGTTTGCCACTTTCTTCGTAATTATATCCGGCGTTATTTAGGATTTACGTACTTATCTGTTCCAAGAACCGTGCGGATGGTGGCTCATTGGTGTCAGCGGCTGGACATCACTGAAGTTGAATCATGGTATTTCATTCCCACAGAAGTTCATGTAGCGACTTTTACAATGACATTCATATGAGTGTATAAGCGGTCTAACCTTTTATTTCACGGGGTGGCTGTAATGCAGAGGCTTGTTTAAGCGTGACTTGTTTATTCTCTCCATGTACTAACGATCTTCAGGTTTAATTTGTCTAATACAATCTCACATATCACTCTCACATACTCTACACAAAAACTCACAAATACTCTTCTACATCCTCACACACACATACATATCCCCTACACAAAACACACACTCACTGACTTCTCTTATCTAACTCACTCTCATACTCACTCCAATCAACACAGTCTCTATACTTACAAATCTCTTCCTCTACATCTATATATCATCATCTTTATACTATACACACACACTTACGCTATCTTCTATCACTCACTTACGCGTGACTAACTCTCTCCACTTAACCTTCTCTCTCATATCAATCTTACACTCACTAATACACGTTTTTGTACCTGTGTCCCTGGTATGGCAGTTCTGATTGGACCCATTGAGTTGACCGGGGTCGGGGAAATACATTAAGTAATACCAATATTTTCATTTCCCCCTATAGAAAACAATCTACTCTTTAAAGGAATTATATTTTATTTTTTTTTTGTATAGTGAAGTGTGTCATTGTTTGATCAGAGAATTTATGGCCACGCCAGTCCGATGGCTTAGGTCATCTGTGAGCATTAATGCTGGCCTGCCATGCCTAGCCAGGCATTGAACGTCCCAGGGACCTTTCCTGTCTGTATGAAAGGTGTCATGGTCTTCGCCACAGCCTGCACCCAGAGCTGACCATTGCTTGCTCTAACGTGCTAGGAGAGAAATAAAATATATTAAGCTATATACACTCCCTAGGGTTGGGTAATCACCGCGGTATCCCCTCTGGTATCTACCAGTAAGGGCACTGCTCTACCTGGGGGTCATCTGGTTGGTTGGTTAAGTTCCCGCTTGAAGTTTCTTTAGCCCGCCTTTTTTTTTTTATTTGTGTAGTTCTCGACTGTGCTCCCTGGCGCACTGTTTATAATTTTAATAGTGGCCTGTAGGTAATTATTATTACTTTAGTTTTATATTATTCAAGAATTACCTTCAGCCTCTTTTGTATCTGGTCCGTGCTATGCACTTTGTTTTCCTGCACTCTGCCTCGCGCCATGGCCATTACTACTACGTGATGAGTTTGCACTCCAGTGTCCCCTCTGGTATTCTGTAATATTGCCTGTGATAGCAATGCTTGGACTGGAAGTTGTACCACCGCTATTATGTCCATCTCTATTCTCTTTCATATTGAGACTGTAGACATAGTTGCGATGAGTTCGATAGGGGGTGTTGATTCTGCTCTGATGCACCGCACCAACATTCTTGGCGTCCTCACGTTGGAATCTGTTCCCCGATGTGGTGTCTGCGCCCGCGTGTGATAATGGGGTTGGTCAGAGATGGTTCTGCCCTCTGGTATCCAAAAGCCCCTCCATCCAAGCAATCATTTCAGTGTCTTAAGTACCGCAAGTCCGACGTCTTTCCCTGAATTTCATTGCGTTGAAAATGCTGACACACTTTTTCTCTAGTTGGTACAGTACCTTGCTTTGGCAGTTGGTTCAACTGCTGACTTCTTAAGGGTTTCGGTCAGTGGCTTCGTTGTTACAGTCACCTCCCTTCTTCGTTTGTTTAGTAGACATCCATAGAGTCATAACTGCCAGTTTAGACAATGCTTACCGTTGGCTCACTTATTAGTTTGCACATCTTCGGTCACATACCGCGATTTGGCAGCCTGGCGGCATTCGGTCCTCCTTCATGGGAGCTTCGAGGTGTTCCACTTGCTGCCGAGGGTCGGTTGGCTGCTATAGTAACACAGACGCCCACCTCGTCGCCAAAAATCCCCCCACCGGCTTCGTGGAGTTGTTTTTTTTTTATTCCATCAACACATTGCCCTTGTTGAGCCACTGCTAGTAGACTGCTACTTTCTGAGGCTAGACGGTTTGAGGCCTAGGATGGATGTGCTGGGATGGTGGGTTTCCGCATCATATCCAGCCTCTGAACGTCTGCTGCAATCTCATGGGTAAAGTTGGTAGGATTTTGAAATCCTTCATGTTTTCATGTTTCCCGGCGTTTTGCTTCGTTAATTTAACTTCCGTCTTCGCTCTTTTTCGGCTATTGTAACGAGTGTCTGATGATTGCCCTGTTTTAGTATGTGATCTCCGTGACTCTGATTCACCTTTTCTGCTTTGACTACTCCCCTGACTTCATCCTGTGGCTTGCCCATATTTAAGACCACTCTTTTGGCTGATGCCCTCCGGTACAGGATGGCTAGGACAGAGGGACTGGACACTATCTTCACCTGGTTTAGCCTGTTTAGCCCTGTTTAGCCTGGCACTTTCCTGGAAAGCCCGGCTCCTGGCAACTCTTCCTCCACAGCCACTGTCGCTTTTAATGCCCCTCAGCTATTACAGTGCAAAAACTCACTGGATTAACTGGGGATTTTGGCTGTTTAGCTGGGGACTAAAGTTCCAATGCCCGGTTATTCCTCTTCATGGGCCTCACGTGTCCTATTTTCTGTTCAAATCAAACTGAAGTTTACTGTGTGCTCTTTAGATTTCTCTGTTAGATGCTTTGCTCGTGCGTCGGCACTGCATGTGCCTGGGCGGCTTAGGCTTATGTCGATCATGGGGGGATTGTATTAACTGGAGTGGCTGATGTGTCCGCGGCGGTTTTAAGCCCCCCCTGATTTTTCGTCGTTGGCTGAGGCTTTTATAACTTTTTGCTTTGTTCGGCATCTTTCCGATCCTTTTTTATCAGGGGGTTTACAGTGCGTTGTTCCTGTCTTTTTACACAGGATCTTGACATACTTCTTGTCTGTAAGATGGAGCCGCTGTTTGGTTCCCGTCTGCCCCTACCAAATTTGGTTGATTTTTCTGATCTTTATAGGCTTTTATCGTTTATATGTTTCGAGACTGGGTGGTTATGTGCGCCTACACGTTTGTTGTTCCGGATTCTGTTTTCTATGTCCCTTCTAGCTTTGATGACTTTTTAAGACATCACCAACTTCCTCGGAGTCTGTCCCTCTCTTTCTGCTAGCGTCCATGTGAGCGGGTTGCCTCGCTACAAGAGCCAGAAGACGAGGATTAGTTCGAATCTCTGTCAGTTTCAAGGCTTACCGTGCTCCTCCGTGGTTAATCGCAATTTGGACATCAGAGTCCGTTTCGACCTCCCTCCCCTCCAGCTCTGCTATCGGGGCTGTGTCCAGCTAGCCCCAGGATGCGGGCTCCCCCCTACGCGTTGCCGCCCCGTTCAGGATCCAGAGTCGCGGTGCTCACGGGAGATTCTCCGCCACACTGGCGCATGTCTCGGTTGCCGGTCATATGTGGAGCGCTCTGTCTCTCTGCAGCTCTGTTCATCGCCCGTTCACCTCTCAAAAAAGACTTCATCCATAAACGACTTCATTTTCTTCGGCCACATCTGGATTTTTTGCTTCTGTCGATACCTGGCTATAATAATCGGTATCAGCGCCTTCTCGAGCTCCTCCCTCCGATATTATACCTCAGTAAAATCAAGCGCTAAGGCCTGGTGGGGCCGGAGTATGTGTTTTAGCATTCTTTACACCTGGCCTTTTCCTCCTCCTTAGCCTAATGGGTTGTTCTGCTCTCTGTTTTTTGATCGCCACACTTTTTGGACATGGTGTCCGACCTACTATGACACAATAAGATTTTTGTTTCGTGTGTTTTGACATGTAGTGCATGGGCCGTGTGTCCATCAGATGACTAACATCTTTATTTGTGGGATTTAATCATCATGTTGCGTCCTCAAATTACTTTAGCATCTGAGTTCCTCTGACCTGTTGGTCCTGGATCCTTCACTATCTTGCAGATTTCCACTCATAAGCTTGGCCAATCACGGTCTTATTATCTCTCATGACTTCACGTAATAACACTATTTATCTCAACCAGGCAGCGACTGTGCATTTCCAAATTCTTGGGTTGTTTCAGGGACCCCGTGCTGCTTCAAGACCGCTAACTCCCTTCTGTCGCGCTATCTTTCACACGCCGCCTCCCATCTACATTTGCCTCTGCCTTTAGGACCACTAGCTCGTACACAGGGACAGTGTGATCCCCATGTCTGGCCAGTGAATGGGGCAGCCTGCAAGCTTACCTGCTCTACTTTCTGTCTGTTTGATCATTGGTGGCTTTTACACGTTTTTCAATCATGTCCAGTGGCGACATTTTTTCAACAACGTGCCACTGAGCAGCTTGCTATCTGCGTGCGCAAGGGTAGTTCGTCAAGCTTCGTGTCTGTGGAGTTCCGTGTTGCACGTGATGCTCCTATATGGCATCTGGTGGCGTTGCAATATCGTTCTAATTATGGTCTCATCCAGCTCGCACAACCCTATGGGCGTTTTACTCAATACAGTCTGGATTAGTCCTCCTTGCAGTGGCTGAAAGAATGTTTGTTCTGAGCTACTGGGTGTGTCCTGAGTGATGGGGGGATTTTTTGGCAAGGTGTGGGCTTGGGGGACGTATGCTAAGCTTCGGGGGGTTTTTACAGACTCTCCCCGGCTGGGCTCAATATGGTCCGGTCTATGACTCTCCTCAGAGCTGGTCCAGTGGTAGTACCACTAGGTTGTCTCTGGATTTCTGTTCATCTTTGGCTCAAACTGCTTTGAAAACTGGGGGCACTGTCCGGACGGGGGCGTGGTGGATGTGCGAATGAGCTATGGGTGCTGGGCAGCAGCATTCATGCATGCGTGTTTTGGCCTCTGTTATAAATACCTATCTTGATCAGGCTTTTCTGTCAAATTGGACGTCCGTAGCATCTCTGCCATGGGTGCTTTGTTTGAGTTATATTATCTATTTTCATTGCAGCCTTTGGGTATATGTTGATTGGTGATGTTTTGGACATTGATGATATGTGCCGTCATGCTCGGAAGTCAGCTCTCTTATGTGCTAAACGATAGTCTGCCTGTCGTTGTTTCGATGATCAGGCTTGTGATGCTGGACCGTCTGCGGCACGGGTGAATCAGGGGTAAATCATTCTACCCGCCCGCGGGAGATGCTTGGGTGGGCTGGCACTGCCGGATGGGTATGGGCAGTCGACGTCACTGCACGGTGGGGTGGGACGTGGTATATTCCTCCTCCTCAACTACCGAGCTGCGGCATCAGGGTGCCTTCAGGCCAGGGTGACCCACAAACCCCGGGTAGAACGTGTCTGACTGACGCACAGGGCCAAGCAGGGCATGTAATTTTGGTCTGGACAGCTTTAGGCGTAGAGGTCCTGTGTATTTCCTGTCTCCCTATACACTGCCACTGCCCTTGTCTCCCTTCACCACTGCCTTACGGTCTTTAAACTATGGCTCTCGTGTTTCCTCCTCCTCAAATGATTCATATCCAATTCATTATTTTTGCTCCGGTTGTTCCTCATTGCAGTCCAGGTCGTGGGTCCATCCGTGATGCCGTACTAATCCTGGGAGTTGTTTTTGACCGGGTACTGATCTTTAAAAAAATTTTCAGCGGTGTGTCATGCGCTATCATCAACTACTATCTGGGAGGTTTTTGTGTTGTATGGACTCACTTGTTTTTGTTTTACTGTTCAGTTCCCGGTCATAAAACTACTCCCAGTTCATGACGGCATCAAGTACTGGACCCACGACCCTGGTCTGAATACTGAGGAACTTCCCCCGCTACCATATATTTTGAAATCCGATTTGGTTTCTTTGAGGTGGAGGTATATTCTGCGTGAGCATTGTTTAATGTCCGAATGGCAGATGGGATGGGAGTCTGGCTGGGCTGGTTTGGTCAACTGGTATGATCAATGGACATCGTCAGCTTAAAAGTTGGATTGATATATTATTGTAGGCATTGTGGACCCAGCGCTGCTTGTTATTGAGAACAGGTCCGGCCCATTTGAACCCTGTGGATCCCCTTTTCAGCGGTGGATGTGAGATTAGTCAACGAACCATCACAACAAGCTCCTTCAGTCAGGTAGAACTACCACTGCAGGTCCAGTGCCCTGAACACCAACATGCCTCCGACAGCAGGAGAGATAACTGAGTGTTCACCGTGCAAACGCCGCTGTCTGGTCCCAGCTGCATCTCTAAGCACTGCTGCTTCGTTTACAAAGAACATATTCGGGGCACTGTAGAAGAGCTGTCTCCTTGCTGTGAAATACGCGATCTGAAGCCTGTTTTATGTTCCAAATTTGTTTTTTGGCCATTTTGGCGGCTTCCTGTTTGTAGTTGAGGTGCGCTAGATTCCTTATGTCAAAAAGGGAGGGAGTAGACTTCGTTTTGTGACTGTATTCTGTATAGATTATTGGGTTTTACAGTGGCCGTACAAAATGCAATGCTTGAAGCTGAAGAACAGATACCAGTGATTAGTGCAGCTATTTATACAAAGCAAGAAGTATGGGCCCATACACAGCTACACACATGTAGGCAAGGCAAGGCAAGTTTATTTATATAGCACAATTCATACACAAGGCAATTCAAAGTGCTGAACAAAACAAGAAAGCATTAAAATCATAAATAATCACAGAACATTAAAAAGAAAGATAGAAATATAAAATCCCTCAGTTGTAGCACAGCTAAACAGAACTGTCTTTAACCTGGTTTTAAACATTGTCAGAGAGGAGGCCTGTCTCACATCTTCAGGAAGACTGTTCCAGATTTTAGCAGCATGAATCTGAAAAGCAGCCTCCCCATGTTTAGTTCTGACTCTGGGCACTAACAGGAGTCCAGTCCCTGTGCTCCTCAGAGTCCCAGCAGGAGTCCAGTCCCTGTGCTCCTCAGAGTCCCAGCAGGAGTCCAGTCCCTGTGCTCCTCAGAGTCCCAGCAGGAGGCCAGTCCCTGTGCTCCTCAGAGTCCCAGCAGGAGTCCAGTCCCTGTGCTCCTCAGAGTCCCAGCAGGAGTCCAGTCCCTGTGCTCCTCAGAGTCCCAGCAGGAGGCCAGTCCCTGTGCTCCTCAGAGTCCCAGCAGGAGGCCAGTCCCTGTGCTCCTCAGAGTCCCAGCAGGAGGCCAGTCCCTGTGCTCCTCAGAGTCCCAGCAGGAGGCCAGTCCCTGTGCTCCTCAGAGTCCCAGCAGGAGTCCAGTCCCTGTGCTCCTCAGAGTCCCAGCAGGAGTCCAGTCCCTGTGCTCCTCAGAGTCCCAGCAGGAGTCCAGTCCCTGTGCTCCTCAGAGTCCCAGCAGGAGGCCAGTCCCTGTGCTCCTCAGAGTCCCAGCAGGAGTCCAGTCCCTGTGCTCCTCAGAGTCCCAGCAGGAGTCCAGTCCCTGTGCTCCTCAGAGTCCCAGCAGGAGTCCAGTCCCTGTGCTCCTCAGAGTCCCAGCAGGAGTCCAGTCCCTGTGCTCCTCAGAGTCCCAGCAGGAGGCCAGTCCCTGTGCTCCTCAGAGTCCCAGCAGGAGTCCAGTCCCTGTGCTCCTCAGAGTCCCAGCAGGAGTCCAGTCCCTGTGCTCCTCAGAGTCCCAGCAGGAGGCCAGTCCCTGTGCTCCTCAGAGTCCCAGCAGGAGTCCAGTCCCTGTGCTCCTCAGAGTCCCAGCAGGAGTCCAGTCCCTGTGCTCCTCAGAGTCCCAGCAGGAGTCCAGTCCCTGTGCTCCTCAGAGTCCCAGCAGGAGTCCAGTCCCTGTGCTCCTCAGAGTCCCAGCAGGAGTCCAGTCCCTGTGCTCCTCAGAGTCCCTGCAGGAGTCCAGTCCCTGTGCTCCTCAGAGTCCCAGCAGGAGTCCAGTCCCTGTGCTCCTCAGAGTCCCAGCAGGAGGCCAGTCCCTGTGCTCCTCAGAGTCCCAGCAGGAGTCCAGTCCCTGTGCTCCTCAGAGTCCCAGCAGGAGGCCAGTCCCTGTGCTCCTCAGAGTCCCAGCAGGAGGCCAGTCCCTGTGCTCCTCAGAGTCCCAGCAGGAGGCCAGTCCCTGTGCTCCTCAGAGTCCCAGCAGGAGTCCAGTCCCTGTGCTCCTCAGAGTCCCAGCAGGAGGCCAGTCCCTGTGCTCCTCAGAGTCCCAGCAGGAGTCCAGTCCCTGTGCTCCTCAGAGTCCCAGCAGGAGGCCAGTCCCTGTGCTCCTCAGAGTCCCAGCAGGAGTCCAGTCCCTGTGCTCCTCAGAGTCCCAGCAGGAGTCCAGTCCCTGTGCTCCTCAGAGTCCCAGCAGGAGTCCAGTCCCTGTGCTCCTCAGAGTCCCAGCAGGAGTCCAGTCCCTGTGCTCCTCAGAGTCCCAGCAGGAGTCCAGTCCCTGTGCTCCTCAGAGTCCCAGCAGGAGGCCAGTCCCTGTGCTCCTCAGAGTCCCAGCAGGAGTCCAGTCCCTGTGCTCCTCAGAGTCCCAGCAGGAGTCCAGTCCCTGTGCTCCTCAGAGTCCCAGCAGGAGTCCAGTCCCTGAGCTCCTCAGAGTCCCAGCAGGAGTCCAGTCCCTGTGCTCCTCAGAGTCCGGGCTGGTTCATATGGGACTAACATGTCACTAATATATTTTGGTGCGAGGCCATGGAGAGACTTGTAACAAGCAGAGCTGTTTTAAAGTCTATTCTCTGAGCCACAGGAAGCCAGTGCAGAGACCTGAGGACTGGACTAATGTGGTCGTACTTCCTGGTTCTAGTCAGGACTAATGTGGTCGTACTTCCTGGTTCTAGTCAGGACTAATGTGGTCGTACTTCCTGGTTCTAGTCAGGACTAATGTGGTCGTACTTCCTGGTTCTAGTCAGGACTAATGTGGTCGTACTTCCTGGTTCTAGTCAGGACTAATGTGGTCGTACTTCCTGGTTCTAGTCAGGACTAATGTGGTCGTGCTTCCTGGTTCTAGTCAGGACTAATGTGGTCGTACTTCCTGGTTCTAGTCAGGACTAATGTGGTCGTACTTCCTGGTTCTAGTCAGGACTAATATGGTCGTACTTCCTGGTTCTAGTCAGGACTAATGTGGTTGTACTTCCTGGTTCTAGTCAGGACTAATGTGGTCGTACTTCCTAGTTCTAGTCAGGACTAATGCGGTTGTACTTCCTGGTTCTAGTCAGGGCTAATGTGGTCGTACTTCCTGGTTCTAGTCAGGACTAATGTGGTCGTACTTCCTGGTTCTAGTCAGGACTAATATGGTCGTACTTCCTGGTTCTAGTCAGGACTAATGTGGTCGTACTTCCTGGTTCTAGTCAGGACTAATGTGGTCGTACTTCCTGGTTCTAGTCAGGACTAATGTGGTCGTACTTCCTGGTTCTAGTCAGGACTCGAGCTGCTGCATTTTGGATGTACTGCAGCTGTTTTACAGCCTGTTTGGACAGACCTGTGAGCAGGCCATTGCAGTAGTCTAACCTACTGGAGACAAATGCATGGATAAGAATCTCCAGGTCTGCTTTAGACACTATGTTTTTGATCCTGGCAATGTTTTTTAGATGGTAAAAAGCTGCTGATGTTCTGATTTGATGTGGCTATTAAAATTTAAGTCTGAGTCCAGTATTACCCCTAGATTTCTGACCTTGTTTGAAGGTTTTAGGGAGAGAGACTGTAGATGACAGATGACGCTCTCTCTTTGTTTCTGGGGACCAAAGACAATCATTTCAGTTTTGTCTGCGTTTAGCTGAAGGAAGTTGTTTTGCATCCACTCACTGATCTGTTGGATACAGTGAAGGAGTGAGTCCACTGGTCCATGTTCTCCTGCAGTCAGTGAGACATAGATCTGAGTGTCGTCTGCATAGTTATGATAGGAAACTTTGTTTCTGCGTATTAACTGACCTAACGGCAGCATGTAGAGATTGAACAGAAGAGGTCCCAGGATCGACCCCTGTGGTACTCCACAGGTCAGGGCCATATGATCTGAGACACAGTCTCCAATCTCCACAAAGTACTTCCTGTCTTCAAGGTAAGACCCAAACCAACTTAGGGCGGTGCCAGTGACGCCAACCCAGTCCTCTAGTCTCTGTAAGAGGATCTCATGGTCGACAGTGTCAAAGGCAGCACTCAGATCTAACAGGATTAGGATTGAGACTTTGCCTGCGTCAGTGTTCAGCCGGATATCGTTTGTAACCTTAACGAGAGCAGTCTCAGTGCTGTGGTGGGGTCTAAAGCCGGACTGAAACATATCAAATGAGTTGTTGATTATAAGAAATCTAGTAAGCTGTAGGTAGACAACTTTCTCAAGGACTTTCCCCATAAATGGCAGATTTGAGATGGGACGATAGTTGTTAAGTACCGTAGCATCCAGACTGCTCTTTTTTAGCAGGGGCCTGATGACTGCAGTTTTCAGGGCCTTTGGGAATATTCCAGAATGAAGGGACATGTTTACTATCTGTGTGAGTGAAGGTAACAGACTGCTCAGAACAGACTTTAGAAATCTAGTGGGTAGTACATCCAGGCTGCATGTGGAGGAGCTCAAACTGGAGATTATCTCTTGGACAGTTTTATCATTTACAGGTGCCAAGTGAGTTAGCTCAAAGAGCCTTTCTGGCTGTTGGATTGTTATCTGTGGATTGGAGACAATGGCGTTTTTGATGCCTTGAACCTTGTCATTGAAAAAATGTGCAAACTCATTGCATTTACGTTTGGAAGTAAGCTCTAATGGCATTTGAACAGGGGGGTTTGTTAATCTATTAACTGTTGAAAACAGAACACGCAGATTGTTGCTGCAGCCTTCAATCATTTCAGAAAAATACCTTTCTCTCGTACTACGTAGCACCCGGTTAAACTCGCACAACTTATCTTTGAAGATCTTGTAATCTACCTGGAGGTTGGACTTGCGCCACTTCCGCTCGGCCCTCCGGCACTTTCTCTTTTGTGCCCTGACCGAGTCTGCTTTAGCCCACGGCGCCTTCTGCTTATTTTTCACTATTTTAACCTTCACAGGGGCAACGGTATCCAGAACATTCAAAACACTAGAGGTGACAGAGTTAAACAGTTCATCTACAGTAGAATACGATGCATTCTCAAAGTTTATCATTTCCATAAATAGTTCACTCGTATTTTCATTTATGTGTCTTCTTCGTACAGTTGGAGAGTCCACTGGTGGTTTGTTAGTGAAACACATGTCAAAAAATATACAAAAATGATCCGAAAGAGCAACATCGACCACGTTTACATTAGAAATATTCACCCCCTTTGTAACTAACAGGTCTAGAGTGTGCCCTCTGCTGTGGGTGTGGCCACTCACATGCTGAGTGAGACCAAAGGTATCAAGTACAGAACTCAGCTCATTTGCATTTCTGTCATCAACATTATCCACATGAATATTAAAATCACCTGTAATAACTAAACTATCAAAATCTGTGCATACAACTGAAAGCAACTCTGTAAAATTATCAATAAAACTGTGACATGACTGCGGTGGCTTGTATAGGACAACGAAAAGTATCGGAGGGGATTGTTTTTGTTGTATTTTAAAAGACACATATTCAAAAGACGGAAACTTCCCAAGAGACATTCTATGGGAGACAAAGTGGTCTCTAAAAATGGCAGCTAAGCCTCCTCCTTTTTGGTTTTCCCGTATTTCAGATTCAAATTTGAAATTTGGTGGTGATGCTTCTATTAAAACTGCATTTTCTGTATTTTGGTCAAGCCATGTTTCAGCCATGAACATAAGATCAAGATTATAAGAACAAATAAAATTATTGATTAAAAAAGACTTGTTAGAAAGAGATCTGACATTAAGCGTAGCAAGTTTCAAAGTTTCAGGATCAGCGGTTGTGGTCGGCTGATTCTTACACGAAACAAGAATTAGATTTTCCAGATTAGACTGATTAACTCCAGATGTCTTTCTGTAATGTATTCTTTGTGTTATCACTAAGGGAATGGCACAGGTGGCTTCATGACAGGGCCCCAGCCGGGTCTCTCCTCTAACTAGACTGCCAGTGGCTGCGAAGCAGAGACCCTGTGCATCCTAGGGAGAGGAGGGAGGAGGATGGAGAGGTGGGTGGTTCTTGGGTGTTGGACGAGGGGGGGTTGGAGGTGGATGGGTTCTTGGTGATGGGAAACAAGGGGGGGGGGGGGGGCTGGAATGGTTTTGGGGTTAGGGGAGGGACCTGTGGATTTTGCGGGTGAATTCGAGTTAGAATTTGAGGGACGGGTGGATTTTGTGGGAGAATTTGAGTTGGACGCCCTAGGTGGCTTTGGAGGTAAGTATGGGGAGTAGTTTTGAATGTTAGATAGGACCCTTGATCTGGCTACAGTGGGTGTGAGAGGAATAGTCTTCATCGCAGATCTTATCATGCCTGCAGAGTGTTCCGGTAAATCCAGTAGTGATGGAAAACACAGGGAAAGGTCGTCCTCATGTTCCTTAGATGGAGTGGATGTAGCGGGGGGGACCCAAGCCGGGTCCATGGAAGGTGATGAGGGAGTCTTTGGTGGAGACAGAGGTGGTTGAGGAACCCCCAGTACAGGCCTGACTGTAGCCTGGAGCAATGGGGGGGGCTTCACGGGAGCTGTAGGTGGGGAAGGTGCTGCTGAAGATGATGCAGCAGCCACAGCTGGGTCTGGTGGTGCTGATGCTGAAGGCGCTGATGACGCTGTGGCAGCCACTGCTGCTGCTGGTGCTGGATCCTTTGCTGATGATGATGCTGGTGGACGTGTTGAGTTCTTTTGAGGCGGTGGAGGTGCCGAGACCTCTGGGTTCCGTGTAGAGGGTCTCGCCCTTTGTATCCTCCTCTCTTTCAACGGCTGAACGCGCTGCGCAGGCTGAGGTCTTAAGGCAGATGCAAAGTTATCCATCAACACTTTTACTCCGTATTTGTTCAGATGTGGGCCTTTCCCTTCAAAGAGCTCGAGCCTATTCCAGAACAGATTGAAGTTTTCAATGAATCCAAGTCCTCTGCGTGAACACTCATTGTGTAGAAATGAATTTAACTGGTACAGACGGCTAAACTTCTCGATTTTTCCATCTGCATTTGGAATGGGGCCACTGATTAGCACGTTTAACTCCATTTTTTTAAGGTCATCCAGCAGCAGAGAAAAATCTCTTCTCAACTTCTCGGTGGATTTCTCATAAATGTCTACTGCCCTTGTGTGTATCAACAATGTACTTACATCCTTGGTTTGAGATAAAACTTTTGGCACCAAAGCTCTTATCTCAGACACTCTGGCTGAGTGCAAAGAATGAGTCTGTACAAAGTTCAAAGATACATTCCGAATGGCAGAATCTCCAAGCAGCAAACACCGTGGCCTTGACGGAGGGGGAGAAACAGACTGTGGCTTTGCTTCTTCAAACAGAGCAGCATAACCATTTGAAGTTTTGCAAACATTTCGTGGCAGAATTCCACTCCCATTGTCATTCTTAGCTTTGTCAACTTTGGGTTTAGCGCCGCATTTATTCCAATAGTTCTCTTTGTTGATTTTGGGAAAAGTAATTACGTCATCATAACTTACATTTCCAGTCTGTCCATTCATTCCATTTTCACACATTGGAAGAGTCGGGTTAAGTCCCATTTCTGTTTCCAAAATATCCATCAGTTTTTGAAGAAATTTGAGCTCATTTTCCAGAGAGCAGCAGCCATCGCAGATTTGTCTTTGTTTCTTCCGTCCGGACATGATTAATGTTGACAAATTTCACAAAGCTGAAGTCTGCAGAAGGAGTAATCCGTGTTTTGTAGAATAAAAATGTAAATAAAGCGATTAAAAGAGATTACAAAGCGAAGCAAGCAGCGGAGCACCAAGGAACACGTCTACACACTTCCACTGCGGAAGTAGACGTACACACACACAGCCACAGGTACACACTCACAGACACTGCTACACACTCACACACACAGGAACACACACTCACAGGTGCACACACTCACAGGTACAGGTGTTGTTTGTCCAGTGCTGATAGGGCTGATGTGTGTGTTGTGTGTCCAGGGCTGATGTGTGTGTTGTGTGTTGTTGTGTGTCCAGTGCTGATGTGTGTGTTGTGTATCCAGGGCTGATGTTGTGTGTCCAGTGCTGATGTGTGTGTTGTGTGTTGTTGTGTGTCCAGTGCTGATGTGTGTGTTGTGTGTTGTTGTGTGTCCAGTGCTGGGGACGCAGGCGGAGGACGTGCAGCGGTTGGTGGATGTCCTCACAGAGCTGCTCCCTCTCCTCAGCTCCAC